TTCCCGCTGGATTCAAGCCATACTTCCTCTCTTAAAAGCACTTCATTTCAGGTCCAGCGGCGACAGAACAGTCAGAAATTAAGGTACTGGTGACATCATTGATTGAAGTAGCATCTCTTCCTACATATGAAGGTTGAATGAAAAATAATGCCTCCACCTTCGTAACTCCTCAACAGACAGCAGTACTGGTATGCGGCAAGTACTGGCTTGTTCAGTAGATTCTCCTCTACAGTTCCATTTTGGCAGGAAGCCTTAGCATTGAACAGTCGACATATGGAACCCTGCACAGACGGTCGGTTAATGTGACTTAAGCAACGTGCAGTCATTTAATTCTTGACAGCAGAAGGTGTCACCCCAAAGGAGATTAATCAGAGAATGCAAGCTATTTATAGTGATTATGTTGATGTGAGTACTGTGCATCATTGGGTGAGTAAGTTTAAAATGTTGAGGTGGGAACATCTGACTTGCGTGACAAACAAAGAGTTGGACATCCTGTAACAGCAACAACCGAGTTTCACAAGCAAAAGGTTGACAGATTGATTCAGAGCTATCGTCATATCATTTAGATAGAAATTTCAAGCCTAATCGGCATTTCTGCTCCCGATAATGAAAGAAGATCTGCGGGGACATCATTATGCTTCTGATGAAGACGTTGAGAGAACTGTGAGACGCTGGTTGCAGAAACAGAGCGTTGACTTCTTTCGTGACGGCTTCAGAAAACTTGTTCATCGTTGGCAAAAATGTATCCAATTGTCTGGTGATTATGTGTAAAAGTGAATAGTGGTAGTTAAAAAGCACATTCTAAGGATTATTTCTGAGTTTGATTTATCAAAATATTCCCATCGAAATCCAAGTAACGAAAGTGGAGGCTTTACTTTTCATTCAACCCTCGTATATCTTCCCATGGACTGAGATCTGACAGAAGTACATTTCTTTAATGTCATGGATTTTTATGTCCAAGGGGTGTCCTAGAACTAAACTACAGTGGATATCAAGGACTCACTGTATTCCCCTTATGCCTATTTTTGACAGTCAGACCTGGCTATGATGAAACATACATTAATTACATCATGTTGATGCAGTGCAGTTGTTCATCAGCTCCAGTATCCTGTCAGATCCCCAAAATCTGGAGGAAAGCAAGAGTCATTGCCATCTTGAAGCCAGGCAAAGACCACAATGATCCAAAAAGCTACAGACCAATCTCCCTGCTGTGCCACCTCTACAAAGTTCTCGAGAGACTTATTCTGCATAGAATTATGGAAAAAATAGACCCATGTCTGATTCCACAGCAAGCTGGCTTCAGGAAAGGCAAAAGCTGTACATCGCAAGTGCTGAACCTGACTCAGCACATAGAAGATGGCTTTGAAAAGCAGCAGATCACAGGAGCTGTCTTCATAGACCTGTCAGCGCTTGATACTGTGAACCACCGCCTCCTCCTGAGAAAAATGTATAATATCACAAAGGACGACCACCTCACCCACCTCATAGGAAACCTGCTACAAAACAGGAGCTTTTTTGTTGAGTTCCAGGGCCAGAGAAGCAGATGGCGGAAACAGAAGAACGGCCTGCCTCAGGGGAGCATGCTTGCTCCATCCATGTTCAACATTTACACAAATGACCAGCCACTGCCAGAAGGGACAGAGAGTTTCATCTATGCTGATGATTGTGCCATTACCGCTCAAGCAGGGAGCTTTGAGATGGTTGAACAGAAGCTCTCCAAAGCTCTAGGTCAGGGGTCCTCAAACTTTTTAAACAGAGGGCCAGGTCACGGTCCCTCTAACTGTTGGAGGGCCGGATTATAATTTGAAAAAAACATGAATTAATTCCTATGCACACTACACATATCTTATTTGTATTGCAAAAGACCCTTAACAAGACAATACAATAATTAAAATGAAGAATAATTTTAACAAATATAAACTTATTAGTATTTCAATGGGAAGTGTGGGCCTGCTTTTGGCTGATGAAATAGGATTGTTGTTGTTGTTGTTGTTGTGTGCTTTCAAGTCATTTCAGACTTAGGTTGACCCTGAGCGAGGGCCGGGTGAATGACCTTGGAGGGCCGTATCCGGCCCCCGGGCCTTAGTGTGAGGACCCCTGCTCTAGGTGCTCTAACTGCCTATTACAGGGAAAACCAACTGATCCCTAATCCATCTAAAACACAGACATGTGCCTTTCACCTTAAGAACAGACAAGCATCCCGAGCTCTGAGGATTACCTGGGAAAGAATCCCACTGGAGCATTGCAGCACACCCAAATACCTGGGAGTCACTCTGGACTTCTCTCTGACCTACAAGAAGCACTGCCTGAACATCAAACCGAATGTGGGTGCTAAAAACAATATCATATGAAAGCTGACTGGCACAACCTGGGGATCACAACCAGATACAGTGAAGACATCTGCCCTTGCGCTATGCTACTCTGCTGCTGAGTACGCATGCCCAGTGTGGAACACATCTCACCACACTAAAACAGTGGATGTGGCTTTTAATGAGACATGCCGCATTATCACAGGGTGTCTGCGCCCTACACCACTGGAGAAATTACACTGCTTAGTGTATTGCACCACCTGACATCCGCCGGGAAGTTGCAGCCAATAGTGAAAGGACCAAGGCAGAGACATCTCTAGCTCATCCCTTGTTTGGGTACCAGCCAGCACGTCAACGACTTAAATCAAGAAATAGTTTTCTAAGATCTACAGAGACACTTGCTGGAACACCTCAACAAGCGAGAGTTCAAAAGTGGCAGGCTCAAACCCAGCACTCAATCCGTGGGTGATACCAGATGAGAGACTCCCCCCTGGGCACACAGAAGACTGGGCGACTTGGAAGGTGCTGAACAGACTGCGCTCTGGCACCACGAGATGCAGAGCCAATCTTAAGAAATGGGGCTACAAAGTTGAATCCACGTCATGCGAGTGTGGAGAAGAGCAAACCACTGACCACCTGCTGCAATGTAACCTGAGCTCTGCCACATGCACGATGGAGGACCTTCTTGCAGCAACACCAGAGGCACTCCAAGTGGCCAGATACTGGTCAAAGGACATTTAATCAGCTACCAAGTTTGCAAAATTTGTGTTTTTTTGTTTGTTTGTTTTGTTCTGTTAGAAATGTAATACAATGTTCTGGTTGCGGATGACACGATAAATAAAATCATGTTGAATTCCTGCAGGGTGGGTTCATTTTGATTACTTTTAAAGTCTCCAGAAAGTAATTGGTTAGGAATTCTGCAACAGCAATGTTGATGAACACTGTTTTGCAGGATCACATCACACCAGCCCTGTGATTTCTGCACTAGTTTCCATTTTGTTTCTGTATTTAATTCAAAGTATTGTTAATGACTTTTTAATAAATGAAATCACTTGAATCCAAGATATGTTAAGAGATTGCCTTCTCCCATATCATTCTGTTGCTTCCCTGAGATCTTATGGAGTTCCCTGTTTCTGTGTGCCTACAAGTGTGATGAAGACATGGGAGATAAAAGAAAAGAAAGGGTGTTCTTATGAATGCATCAAGAGGCTAGACATGAACCTTTTTTTACTGTAATATAAGGAAGTTTGTTGTAAAAACTTCCTTATATAAACAGACATTTCAATTTAATCAACAGGAGAGAAGCCATCTCCTCATTACTATAATTTTGCTTAAACCTTTTCCTCAGTGATTCACCTCTCCACTTCACCCTTCTGCTGTCAGATTTTAAATTGCCTTCCTGCCAAAAGGGATTTAAAATCTGGCAGTAGAAAGAGTGAAGTAAGGAGCTAGGTTGGTGAGGAAAGGGTTTAAAATCTGAGTTTTCATTGTAGGAAAGTGGTAAATGGTTTGAAGGTGTAGTGCTCTTAACCCTGAGAGTGTAGAGGAAGGCAACTGTATAATCAAACATGGACCTTGGATTTCAGAAATGCTGAATATCCCATGGCCTGATATTCTAAAGGAAAATGACACCCAGGAAAGATGGTAATTCTTGAAGAGAGACTGGCAAAACACGCAATTGCAATTACATGGAAGTAGAAGGCTTGAAAACATCTGAAAAAGCCAATGTAGTTGTAAAGCAAACTCAAGGAAGAAGTACAAAAATAATACAATATGTATAAACAACAGAAGGAACGAAGGATGGATCACCAAAGATGAGAAGTGTAGGCCAAGCTTGCAGGAATAGTATAAAAGCTAAAGCGGTAAATGAGATGAGACTGGCTCAGCAGGCCAGGAGCGACAAAAAAGTGTTTCTTTCAGACATATTGGATGGAAGAGAATGACCCAGCAGACAGTAGGGTTGGAGTTCATTAAGGATGGCAAATGTTTGCAGATAGAACAAAAAGGTAGATCTATATACTCTATGCCCATCTTCCTTCAGTTTTCTTTCAAAAATGAATTGGGTCCTTCCATGCTTGGCAAAATACCTGAATTACAAATCAAATTTGATAGGTAATTATTTAGGAATGACTTACCTAACTTAAACGTGACTGAATCCCAGAGTACTAAAGGAACTTGCTGCTGAATCCCAGGCCAAGATCCAGTTTCTTTAGCTATTTCCATTAAAGGTTAACCAGCAATAGTCAGTTTGAATCCCAAAGGCCAAGAAGGAGAATAACTGGCATGTTCCACCCCTGTATTAGACAGCAAAATTCTGCTTTTTTTTGCCATTGATGTCTAAACATATTGGCAAAAGAAAGAGGTTTAGACATCTCTGGTGCAATAGGCAGTTACAGTTACCCCTAATTGTTCCAATATAATCCTATTTTGTTCTTGCATTGTCACCATAATGTTAGTGAGATTGCTCTAGAATAAATGAGATGGATTTTTAATGCTAAATTGTTATTTAATTCATGCCTGACTTTCCTGCAGTGACATTTGAAAGAGTCAAATTGGGGTTGTATTGTGTTTTTTTAAAAATTACAAAGAAATAATTATCATTTGATAATTGATTGCATTTAAACATACACAGAAAGATATATTGATATATTGGAACCCATTTTAACTATTTACCCTCTTTTGTGCTTCCAGGTGGGTGACATGTGTAAAGAAAATGCAGTGCTGAAAGGACAAATTGCTACACTTAAGGAAACCATCAATATTCATGAGGTGGAATCAAAAGCGAATAGAGAAACCATCACACGGCTTGTCTCAGAACTGAGCAAAGAGCAGAAGAAATCAGCAGCTTGCTCTCAGGATGTGGAAAAGCTAAGTGATGTATGTCCGTTCAATATGCCTGTCATGTGCAAGTAGGTCTTACTTTGCCTATACACACAGTTCAATCTACTTGGTTAGTGGTGTGTGGAAATCTTCAAAAATATATTGCAGAACATTTTCTTATGATTTAACTAGTCAAAGAAAGTGGAGAACAGTAATCAGAACTTCTTCAGGTGCCTAATTTGCATATTCTAATTATGCAAATTGACCAAAAGTTCATTCTAGCAATTCAAATTAGATACATTAATTGTTGCATTTTTGTCACCCACTATGCTTCAAACTTCATACCATTTTTTTACATTACAACTAAGCAAGCGAATATAATGTTTAATGTGCTGATCTTGGATCAGGGAGAGCTGAGTCCAAATCTTTGTTGAGTTATGAAATTAGCTATGGGATTGTGGGCTACCATTACCTCTTGATAATCCCACTTTACAGGAATATTGTGCAGATTAACAAGGAAAGGCAGTTCATGGAAACTGGCTGCATGCATTCCTGGTGAGTGCAAATAGAAAGAAGAATGTCAGAATTTGTCATGCAGAGTTACTTCTGGGATGTTCTCACCAGATCACTGTCCTTCTTCTAAATAGAGTTCACTTTATTTGCTGTTTTGTGTATACAAAACCCAGGAATATATCCACTGCGGATACAGGGGTTGTAGTGTATTTATTTTGGCTGTCAATATTTCATGGATGACAAAAGATACACATCCATGGAAATTCTACAGGAAGCCCATGAGAGTGACTGCCATTTGACTTATAGGGGAGGATGCCAAGAAAAGTAAACTGCAATAACAAAAAGGAGCAAAACATAGTCTGATTTCCTTCAGTACTACAAAATATACAGTTTTATTATAACTAGAAAAAAACAGACTACATTAACTGACTTTCCCCTATTTGCCTTTTGATCAAAGTATACATTCTAAGCAGAAAATCTTTTTATAACATGTGTGCTCCTACCCAGTCATTGTCGTTTAATCCTGGTTAAGCATACTATCAATGTGTATGCTTCTTTCATTTCCAGTTTCACCTTAAATCGCCTTCTTCCACCCCAAACACAAGTATAAATTTCTGTCAGTTCAGGCAACTTTCCATGCATCTGATGAAATAGACTGCAGTCTGAAAAAGCCTATGCCAAATAAAACCTGGGTAGATGAGACTAAATGCTAGTGCCTATTGTATTTGTTGCAAAAGGCTAACATAGTTCTGTCCTTGAAAACTCAATGTAAGAGAGAAGAAAAAAACAAAATAATATAGTGTGACTGCAACTCTCCACAACATAAATTCATTCTTCATCCTCATCTTTGTAGAGATATTTTGTCTCCCATAAATAGCAGAGCTCCAGGTAAATTCTGTTCCTCTCTTATGCACGTTTAACTTAGCAGAACATATGTGAGAGTCAACCCTTCAAATGCTTCCCATGAGAAAGACATTTTGAATTAATTCATTAAAAAAACTTTTTGAAATAATTTTTGCATCAGTTTTCCCCAAATCCGAAGATTCAGACTAATTGTCTGCTGTAATAAGCTTCTATCTGTTAGGAAGTGCAACAATGCTTAGCACTTAAAAACTCAAGCACTGTCTCAGAACCTTATCACATTGGGTTTTACTCAGTTTCTGAGATACTCTGAGTGGGTTCTATCACATGATGTTTGTCCCCCTTTTCAGCCATCCATTTCAATCTGTCTGCAAAACAGAAATGGAGTACAGGATTCTAATCATGGTTTAAAAAAAATTTAAAATGGTTCTGAGGTGCTGTTTTTAACGTGTGATAATAAAACCAGCATGCCTTCCATCAGCTACAATCTCATGTGAATAGTAGTTCTGGGCTTCCAGGCTACATAACCATGCAATATTAGACCCCCCTCACTCTTTCCCTCTCCCCCTCCCCCTCCCTCTATATATGTGATATAGGGAAGCATTTGAATAGACTGGAAGGAACCAGCTCCCACGTGGGAGTATTTTCTAAACGTAAGTTGTGATGGAGTCAGTATGTATCCTATTTGAATGAAGTAGATGTTCAGTCCTAAAAAAATACAGGATACATAATGATATAATGGAATATAACCCAATGTGATGACGAGATAGTCAGTATGGGCAGTAGTAATAGGATTACATAGTTTGAGTGACCCAAAGTGTCTTATCTCATTGTCTATCTGTTCTCACCTTTCTGTGATGTAAACAGATACTCTTAGGAATATCTCCAACTCTTCTCCTCCTCTGAGTTCTTTTGGTTCTCTGTAGAGATGTAGCTTGATTAGATCTGCACGTTAGGTTAGGTTGCAGGATGCTGGTACGGGAAGTGATTTACAGTTTCCAAATCATGACATCCCCAAGCTATTGTAAGTTGTATAGCAAGTGTCTCAGAAGCAAGCAAAAATATAGCACAGTAAAAACATGCTTCAGCCCATCTGTCAGCAGAGTCCAACTGTCAGCATTTGACTTATATACACACTATAGTAAACTCAAGGATTGAGGTTTTAATACAAAATATCTAGAGGCTTTAATCTTCACCGTAGCAATATATGAAAATATACAACCAGGATATGCAGACATACTTTCCTTGTACTTGCAACAATCAGTCATCAAATAGTCACATGTAACACAGAGTGACACAGGAGAGAGAAAGATGGATTCTTTCATCCCCCTTATATAGCCACCTGCTGATAGGTCATCAGTAAGAGACACTGGCAGACTCAGCCATTACCACATTCTATTAGGTATTGCATCACGACATTCACAGTCATTACCCAGGTACTATCAATCTACCACATGTTCATCAAACAGTATTTTATTCTATGATTACAAATGCTTTGACATGTCTATCTAACAGGTTATTATCATATTTTACAATGGAGTTCCTATAATAAAACTTGTTAAAGTACTACTTCATGTACTCTTAATACTGTCTATCTACCTCTTGCCTTTTCCATCTCCTTCTTTCCTCAGAGTAGCATCAAGAGGAGACTTCTTCAGAAAATAGAGTACATCCTGCTTCTACTGCTTTGCCTGCATTCAGTGTTCCTAGCTTCCTCCCTGGACTTTCTTTGTCCTCTCTTGCTTGTTGCATGCTGCTCCTGCATCTCCTCTCCTCTCCTCTCTGGGTCCTTCCACATAGCACTATAGCCCATAATAACAAGGCAAAAATTCCCACATCATCTGAGTCTACACTCAGATAAACCAGTTCAAAGCAGATATTGTGGTTTTTCTGACTTGATATTCTGGGATATGGGGCTGTGTGGAAGCGCCCTGGGTCTCTCATCTTGTGACACCACAGTCTCCCTCTTTTGCCCCTTGACCTCATCAAACTTAACTCTCTTGTTACTTGCAAACTAACACTGTAACTCCCACCCTCTCTCCCTCTCCACCTCCATCCTGCTTGAGTTTCTCTTTCCCACAGCTTGCTATCTTGTGCTCCTGTGGTGCCCCCTCCCTTAGTTCTTGTACTCAATATTTATTTATTTATTTATTTGGGGTTCTTTTACCCCGCCCTTCTCACCCCGAAGGGGACTCAGGGCGGCTTACAGAAACAAAGGCACAATTTGATGCCTGTATCATAAAACAATCATACACAAAATTACATCAATTCACAGTTGAACATGCATGCATTATAATCATAAAATATCCACATCTTTTAATGCACACAAGTCAGACACAAGGCCCACTATTAAGTGAGACTTTTTTCAATGCTTGGAAAAAATAGTCACATGTATACAGTCTTACAATTACAAATGGCCTTTTGAAGGCAATCTTAAGGGCTGATGTGACCCCTGGTGAAAATAAGTTAGACACCCCTTGCTTCTTACTTACCACCCCATTCCTTTCCTTTTCTCATCTGGAACTCTTGTGCTGCACTCCCTCTCAGTTGCTTCATGTGCTCATACTACTTGTATCACTTGATGTTCTGTTCCTCCTGTTCCCGCCTTCATCTCATCTTGCATAATTACATCTTGTTTCTCCTTTGGCTCTTGCATTCTGCTACTCACATCACTCACTTTCCCATCTCTGTTTCCCTCCTTCAGCTCACCTCCATCCCATGCTTCTTGTACTCTGTGACACCAACCACTCAGTCTACCATCTTTCCTACTTCCTCACTCATGTTAAGTCCAACTCTTGCAGTTCCCCCTTCCCTTGTTTCTTCTACACCATTACTTGCATTGCTCATGCCTGAAATCCCTGGTTAGACTTGTTTCTTGTAGAACAGTTTCACAAAAGAGTGACTCCATGTTTTGCCCTATAATAGTTTCTCCAAGAGCTAGACTTCTTATTTTTTAATGAAAGCTTGGTAACGGGGTCAAATGATGGTCCAAGCAGGCATCAGGTGACAACTCTACTATAGCCTTCTTACCCTTAGACTTACCACAGCCTCTAACCTCTGCAGGGTGGGGGACCTACTAAGATGGTCCACCTCAGGAGCCTTATGGATCCAGATGGATTCCTGACATCTCTTGGGAAGTTTTCTGACATGACAGCAGACAATCCTGTTGAAGTCCTGGCCAAGCTCTGGAATGCAGAGGTGACTAGGGCTGTGGACACGATCACCCCTAATGTCCCCTCTTGTGTAGCAGAGACAACCCGGCTTCCTGGTTCACAGGGAGCTTGTGGTGATGAAGCAAGCGAGACAGAGACTAAAGTGCATCTGGTGGAAGTCTTGAAATTAATTTTACTGAACATGAGCTAGAGCCTCTCTTAAGGCCTACTACATGACAATTAGGGTAGCCAGGAAGGTGTTCTCGACTGCTCACATTGCATCTGCAACAAATAGACCTAAGGAGTTATTCCTAATAATCAGGGAACTTCTCCACCCAAGTTCTCAGGAAGAGACTTGTGACCACTTGAGCTGAAATTTAACATTTAAAATTGAAAAGTTACTTGCTTCTTCTACAGATCAAGCAATGACTGTTATCACGAAATAACCTAAAATATACATTAATTTCTCATCTATAACTTCCATAAAAAAACAGCACTTTCCTGTCTCTAGGCTCCATATTTGTAGGACTG